TCACCACTTATATTCCAAGCCGAGTCATTAGATCATGTCGTTTAATGGTTTACCACATGGTAACTCTTTTGCCTTTTATGGAGGCACTGGAGGAATCAGCTTCTTTCTGCCAGAGGTTCAACCTGAGCGAATTCAGTTCTTTCTGCAGGGCGTTTCAAGAAAGGGTCCTTTGCGAGCGCCGTCTTCAAAAAAAAAGAAAGGAAAAAGGGAGGGAAAACTACCACTTTATGCCGGGAACAGGTGGCTTCATGGCTTGTGATCCCAGCACTTCTTTGGGACGGCCGAGGGCGGCAGATCACCTGAGGGTCGGGGAGTTCCGAGGGACCAGCCCCCTGACAACATGGGAAACTCCGTCCGCTTCTTACAAAACATACAAGAATTATGCCAGGGTGGTGGGCCCACATTGGCTGTAATCCCGCTTACTTTCGGGATGGCTGAGGCATGGAGACGCCTTTGAACCTGGGGAGGCGGAGGTTAGTACAGGTGAGGCTGATCGAGATAGCACCATGTGCCACTCCAGCCTGGTTAACAAGAGCCGAAACGTCCATTTCTCACAAAACAGAAAAAAAGGGCCGCGGCGCGGTGGCTCAAGCCTGTAATCCCAGCACTTTGGGAGGGCAGAGACGGGTAGACGTCACGGAGTCAGGAGGGATTCGAGACGCATCACTGGGCGTAAACACGGTGAACCCCCCGCTCTTCTTACTTAAAAAATACAAGAAAAACTAGCGGGTTCGTTTGGGGTGGGCGGGCCCGGCTGAGTTCCAGGCTACTCGGGAGCCCTTGAGGCAGGGCAGAATGGGCCGGTAAAAACCCCGCGGGGGAGGCGGAAGCTTTGCGCAGGTGAGCCTGAGATCCGGGGCCCGGCCTGCCTCAGCCTGCGATGGAGACAGACTTCCGGCTCTTTCAAAAAAAAAAAAAAAAAAAAAACAGGGAAAAAAGAAAAGAAAACTATCACCCCTTTGCATCAAACCCAGGTAAAACCCTCCGCCAACCCTAAAGAGACGGCTTTAAAATGGAAAGTTGGGAGGGTTTAACTGCTGGATGGTCTCGATCTCCTGACCTCGTGATCCGCCCGTCTCGGCCTCCCAAAGTGCTGGGATTACAGGCTTGAGCCACCGCGCCCGGCCATGATTATATTTTAAAATGACCCCTTTGATTGTATTTCACAGGATTATTGAACATGGAGAAGGAAGAGGCCTCACTTGAGGAAGTGTTAGTCTATCTCAATCAAATCTACTGTGGGCAGATTTCTATTGAAACCTCCCAACTTCAGAGCCAGGAGGAGAAAGACTGGTTTGCCAAGCGGTTTGAGGAACTGCAAAAGGAGACGTTTACCACAGAAGAGCGAAAACATCTGTCAAAACTAATGCTGGAATCTCAGGTAAAAAGGAGCATCTAGGCTGGGTGCGGTGGCTCACACCTGTAATCCCAGCACTTTGGGAGGCTGAGGCGTGGTGGTCACCTGAGAGTCAGGGTTCAAGACCAGCCTGACCAACATGGAGAAACCCCATCTTACTAAAAATACCAAAATTAGCAGGTGTGGTGGTGTATGCCTGTTAATCCTAGCTATCATAAGGCTGAGGCAGGGAGAATCACTTGAACCCAGGAGGCAGAGGTTGCAGTGAGCCAAGATCGCGCCATTGCGCTCTTGGAACCAACAAGAGCGAAACACAGTCTCATTGATATAAGTAAATATATAAAAGTCGTAATGGATTTTGCCCAATCCTTCTTAATGCCAAGAAGGGCGTATAGGATCAGCACATCTCCTGTTGTATAAGGATTGTTACTAGATTGCCTAAGAGTCTTGTATATATAACAGGAGGAACCCCGATCATGTGTACATAAAAATTATACTAAATATCTCTCGCCTGTCTTATGGTTCACTTGCGAGATGTACAGACAGGAAATGTATAGCGTGACAGGTGCACTTCAGAGTAGCTACACCTGTGATGACTCAGCTAGTCAGGAGGCGAGGCGGATGAGTAAATCCCTGGAGTTCTCTCTTTGGCTGGACGGTTTGTGAGCTGACAGTGAGCTGAGATCCTGCTAATGGGCGCACTCCTAGTCATGGTCACTGTTTCTTTGAGCTGAACAGAGCAAGACTCGCTCGAAAAATATAAATAAGAGTAGATGAAGTATTCCTTACTTTTAACTACTTGATAAGCAAATGGGAATTGTAGCTCCCATTATAAGAAACTCTGAATTTAAATTCTTTCTAGCTTACCTCTAACATACTTGCAATAACGGGTTGATTTCTATTTAATTACACACACATACCATTTGTATTATCTTCTATGTTCTTTTCTTCTAATATACAATCATGATCCTTGTATCTGAGCAACAACTAACTGCTTTCGGTATTCGCCTCTAAAGTTCTGCTTCACAATGCACACTGTTGGTGTGCCCATACCTACTCTGGGCCCTAGTATGTGTCTCTCCTTCATAGTCACTAATAGTTTCTCGTGAATTAGCTCTACTTTTCCTACTCACTGCCTATCAACTACGATGACTAAAGATCTTCAGACCTCTCTTGGCTTCTGACTGGGCATACTCTCTACGTCGCGTCTTACAGCGCCCTGTTCCCCAGCCCTTTGGTAGGCTGAGGGGGCCTATTGCTTGAGGTCATGTTGTAAATTTGTAGACCCAGCTCCTTTGCGACCATACATGGTGAAATCCCTGTTGCTCTACTAAAAAACAAAAAAATGCCAACCAATCTTAGCCTGGTGTGGTGGATGCAATCCTGTAGTCCCAACCTCCTTGGGTAGACAAGCTTATGGCTCTCGAATGAGAACTTCATTACCTTAGGAAACACCCGGAATAGGCTTGATCTGTTAGCTGTGAGCTCGATATGATTCGCCATTCACTCGCCCACTCCAGTCTCGGCAACAGGAGCACAGACTCGTCCAAAAAAAACACCCCTCAAAAACCCAAAAAACCACAAGTTCTCTCACCTGGTTTTATTTCTTTCTTTTTGTACATTTTTCTTGTTTTTTTGAGACAGAGTCTCGCTCGTCCGCCGAGCTTAGCTGGGGATTACAGGGCCACATGCACACCACACCAAGTTAATTTTTGTATTTTAGTAGTGACAGGGTATCATGGCAATGTTGGCCAAGATGGTCTTAATCTCCTGACCTCATGATCCGCCTGCCTTGGCCTCCCGAGGTGCTGGGATTACAGGCATGAGCCACTGCACCTGGCCTTTAAAAAACATTTTTTAAAAAAAATGTATTTCAAATTTCTTTTTTTTTTTTTGAGATGATTCTCCCTGTCGCCCAGGCTGGAGTGCAGTGGTGTGATCTCAGCTCACTGTAACCTCTGCCTCCCACGTTTAAGCCATTCTCCTGCTTCAGCCTCCCAAGTAGCTGGGACTACAGGTGCTGCCACGATGCCTGGCTAATTTTTTGTATTTTTAGTAGAATGGGGTTTCGCTGTGTTAGTCAGGATGGTCTCAATCTCCTGACCCCGTGATCCACCCCCCTCAGCCTTCCAAAGTGCTGGGATTACAGGCATGAGCCACCATGCCCAGCCTAAAATGTGTTAGCCAGGATGGTCTCGATCTCCTGACCTCGTGATCTGCCCACCTCAGCCTCCCAGAGTGCTGGGATTGAGGGGTGAGCCACCGAGACTGGCCTAAAATTTCTTTTAATATGTAAGAAAAAAGTCTTAGTCAGGCGCTGTGGCTGACGCCTGTAATCCCAGCACTTTGGTTTGGGAGGCTGAGGTGAGCTTAGCATGAGGTCAGGAGATCAAGACCATCCTGGCTAACATGATGAAACCCTGTCTCTACTAAAAATACAAAAAAATTAGCCGGGCGTGGTGGTGGGCGCCTGTAGTCCCAGCTACTCGGGAGGCTGAGGCAGGAGAATAGCATAAACCTGGGAGGCGGAGGTTGCAGTGAACCAACATCGCGCCACTGCATTCCACACTGGGTGACAGAGTGAGACTCTGTCTCAAAAAAAAAAAAAAAAGTCCTGATACCAGGACATACTGTCACCATTCAGGGCTATGTATAGTTGTAGTTCTTGAGACAGTCTTGCTCTGTCACCCAGGCTGGAGTGCAGTGGCACAATCTCGGCTCACTGCAACCTCTGCCTCCTAGGCTCAAGCAATTCTCCTGCCAGCCTCCTGCATAGCTGGGATTACAGGTGCATGCCACCACACCTGGCTAATTTTTATATTTTCAGTAGAGATGGGGTTTCACCATGTTGGCCAAGTCTTGAACTCCTGGCCTCAAGTGATCCAACCACCTTGGCCTCCCGAAGTGCTGGGATTACAGACATGAACCACCATGCCTGTCCTGGTCTTAATTCTTAAGAACTGAAGGTACTTAAGTTCAGAACTTAACTTGAGATGATCAAAAGATGACATGTGGAAGAGAGGCTCAATACAAATGAATGGAAGTGAACCTCCATCAGGGCTGTGACCAGGACTCTGGAATGTCAAGATGACAAGAAGCTCCTTCCTAATAGTTTGGGTAGTTGGATAGTTTGCAGCCTTGATTCATACCATAGAACCCCCTGTGAAAACGGGTACTGGGAAGAGGCAGCAGAAATCTAAGGCCTGGCTTCCAGTCCAGAAGAACATACATTCTAAGGGGGTTTCCTTGGGGTGAGTTATTCTGCCACGAAGGTTATTCTCCTCGGCCCCTCCTGCTGTCCAGGATCCTTGGAAAGCCATCCCGCTGTGTCCCTGTTACGTCTCTCTCCAGGATATGCAGTAAAGTGCCATTGTTGTGGCCACTTGGGGAGTGTGGGGCTATCTCACAACACACACAGACTTATCTGCCTTCCACTGGAGAAGCTGGCTGTCTCCTGGCAGCTCATGTCTGACATGATGTTCTGCAGGAGTTTGACCACTTTCTGGCCACCAAGTTCTCGACAGTGAAGCGATACGGAGGCGAAGGGGCTGAAAGCATGATGGGCTTTTTCCACGAGCTGCTGAAAATGTCGGCCTACAGCGGAATCACTGATGTCATCATTGGGATGCCCCATAGAGGGAGGCTGAATTTATTGACAGGCCTTCTCCAGTTCCCTCCAGAGGTAAGGTTACTCGCTGTGTTTCTCAGTAGCACTGTAAGATTGGTGGTAACAGAATAAAAATAAAAAAATAAAAAACCAGAAACTGCTGGTTTCATTCTGCTGATAAATGATGGTGATGGTGATGGCCGGGCACTGTGGCTCACACCTGTAATCCCAGCCTGTTGGGAGGCTGAGGCAGGAGGATGGCTTGAATCTAGGACTTGAGACCACCCTGTGGAACAAAGTGAGACTCTGTCTCTACCAAAAATAAAGTAAGTTAGCCAAGCATGGTGGCACACACCTGTGTTCCCAGCTACTCAGGAGACGGAGGCCAGAGGATTACTTGAGTCCAGGAGTTTGAGGCTGTGGTAAGCTATGATCTCACCACCGCACTCCAGGCTGGGTAACAAAGCAAGATGCTGCCTGAATATCAATACATTTTAAAAAGTAAAACTCATGGTGATCATTCCTTTTAAGAAGTCAACTAAGCCTGGGCAAGGTGGCTCACACCTGCAATCCCAGCACTTTGGGAGGCTAAGGCAAGAGGAGTGCTTGAGCCCAGGAGTTCAACACCAGCTTGGGTAACCTCGCAAAACTCTGTCCCTACAAAAATAAAAATTAGGTGGCATGGTCTCTACAAACATAAGAATTAGGTGGTGCACCTATGGTTCCAGCTACTTGGGAGACTGTGGTGGGAAGATCTCTTGCATCCAGGAGATGGAGACTTCAGTGAACTGAGATTGCGTCACTGCCCTCCAGCCTGGAAGACAGAGCCAGATCCTGTCTCAAGAAAAAAAAGAGCAAAGGCAACTAAGCATGTGAGCAGTTGGTCCAGGAGGTAGTTTAGACAGTTTAGTTAATTGACAGAGCTGGTATTTGGATTGGTTTTCCGTGTATTCTTATTTATTTATTTATTGAGACCTAATCTCACTCTGTCACCCAGGCTGGAGTACAGTGGTATGATCTTGGCTCACTGCAACCTCTGCCTCCTAGGTTCAAGTGATTCTCATGCTTCAGCCTCTCGACTAGCTGGGATTACGGGTGCCTGCCACCACGCCCGACTAATTTTTTGTATTTTTAATAGAGACGGGGTTTCACCATGTTGGCCAGGCTGGTCCCGAACTCCTGACCTTGAGTGATCTTCCCGCCTCAGCCTCCCAAAGTCCTGGAATTACAGGCGTGAGCCACCACTCCTAGCTTTAAATTTTCTTTTTTCTTGTGTAATTTCAACTCAGCACTGCTTCCCTAGTCTCCATTGTGATGAACGTCATTGTTTTTGTTTTATATGTATCCACAATAGCTGATGTTCCGTAAAATGCAAGGCTTAAGTGAATTTCCAGAGAATTTTTCAGCCACTGGAGATGTCCTGTCTCACCTGACCTCCTCTGTGGACCTGGACTTCGGGGCACACCATCCCCTCCACGTGACAATGCTGCCCAATCCCTCGCACCTGGAGGCCGTCAACCCCGTGGCCGTGGGCAAAACTCGTGGCAGGCAGCAGTCTCGCCGAGACGGCGATTACTCGCCAGACAACTCAGCCCAGCCGGGAGACAGGGTCATTTGCTTACAGGTACTTGGAGCTTCTGGAAGTGAGGCCAGAGGTGGGGAAAACTGGGAAGAATGTGTGGGTTGGGAGGGCTGAAAATAGATGGCTGACATTTGTGATGAAACTGAGATGACCTTTTGGAAAAAGATTCTGGGATTGTTTTAAAAACTAACAGGAGATTCATGAGGTTTAGTCTTCAGGCAACTGGCTTTAGCCTGGGGCTTCCACTGCTGTTTTCCTTGCTTGGCTTATGAATTAACTTAGGGGTATGGGCTGGCAAACCTGCTCCTTCTGGGAGCACAGGTGTCATTATTTCTCTGAAAGGATGGCCCTCTTGGAAACTTCGTGGTATCCATACTTGTCATGTAACAAGACAAGTGTGAATTTTTTTTTTTTTTTTTTTTGAGATGGAGTCTCGCTCTGTCACTCAGGCTGGAGTGCAATGGCGAAATCTCAGCTCACTGCAACCTCTGCCTCCTGGGGTCAAGTGATTCTCCTGCCTCAGCCTCCCAAGTAGCTGCGACTATGGGCGCCTGCCATCATGCCCAGCTAATTTTTGTATTTTTAGTAGTGACAGGGTTTCACCATGTTGGCCAGCCTGGTTTCGAACTCCTGACCTCAAATGATCCTCCTGCTTCAGCCTCCCAAAGTGCTGGGATTACAGGCATGAGCCACTACACCTGGCCTATTTTTTTTTGCTTGTTTATTCTAAAATGAAGGCCTTTGGCATTAAGGCAAACAATACAAATTATCAGTGTGGTTCGTTCTTCTTCTACCCTCTCTCCAAGTTTTTGGTAACACAACAAGTATCTTTTAGAGGTTTGAGCTGTGGTCGTGTTTCTCCTATGAGTATTCATTGAAATACAAACCTTTAACTACAGGAGATAATGAATGCTGGATTTCAGAATCAGTCTTCAAATTCCACAGAAATAGATAAATATATAAGACAAGCAAATATTCTGTCTGTGAATAGCCATGTTATCCTATGCATTTTAATTTTTCACAGGCCAGAAACTTGTAGTGAATAAATTGGGAGTAGGCAGAATTGGATTTAATTATGATATGGCCGGCCTGCCTGCCTTCCTTCCTTCCTTCCTTCCTTCCTTTTTTCCTTCTTTCCTTCCTTTTTTCCTTCCTTCTTTCCTTTTTTCCTTCCTTCCTTCCTTTTTTCCTTCCTTCCTTCTGTTTTTTCTTCCTTGCTTCCTTTCTTCCTTCCTTTCTCCCTCCCTCGCTTCCTTCCTTCCTTCCTTTTTTCCTTCCTTCCTTGCTTCCTTCCTTTTTTCCTTCCTTCCTTTCTTCCTTGTTTTCTCCCTTCTTTCCTTCCTTCCTCCCTCCCTTTTCTCTCACTCCCTCTCTTCCTCCCTCCCTCCTTCCCTTTCTTCCTTCCTCTTTCTCTCTCTTTCTTTCTCTCTTTCTCTCTTTTGAGATGGGGTCTCGATCTTTCGTCCAGACAGGAGTTCAGTGGCACAATCATAGCTCACTGCAGCCTCAAATGCCTGGGCTCAAGCAGTCTTCCTGTTTCAGCCTCCCGAGTAGCTGGGCCTACAGGTGCTTGCCATCATACCTGGCTGATTTATTTTGTTTTGTGGAGACATGATCTTGCCAGGTTGGCAAAGCTGGTTTCAAATTCCTAGCTTCAAGCAACCCTCCTGCGTCGGCCTCCCAAAGTGTAGATATTACAGGTGTGAACCACTGCACCTGGCCTGATACGGTGCTTCTAAATAGAAATCTTGAAATCATTAGCCAGACATTCTGTTTACCTTTCACATAATTTATAATACTCTAAACTATTTTAATCTTTCATTTTTACCCAGTATATTGAGCTGATCTTAAGATTGACTTCTGAAATAAAAGGTGAAAATGCCATTTTCTTTAAAATAATGATAAACGAGGCTGGTCACTATGGCTTATGCCTGTAATCCCAGCACTTTGGGAGGCTGAGGAGGGTAGATCACCTGAGGTCAGAAGTTCGAGACCAGCCTGACCAACGTGGTGAAACCCCGTCTCTACTAAAAATACAAAAAATTAGCCGGGTGTGGTGGTGCGTGCCTATAATCCCGACTACTCGGAAAGCTGAGGCAGGAGAATCGCTTGAACTCGGGAGACGGAGGTTGCAGTGAGTTTAGATTGTGCCATTGCACTCCAACCTGGGCGAAGGAGCAAGACTCTGTCAAAAAATAAATAAATAAATAAATAAATAAATAAATAAATAAATCCAACCTGAAAACCTAAATTTCTTAATCCCTTATGTTTCTTTTCTCTCCACCCCTCTCCTTGCCTCATGATTTAGGTCCATGGTGATGCTTCTTTCTGTGGTCAAGGGATTGTTCCTGAAACGTTCACGCTGTCCAATCTCCCGCATTTCAGAATTGGTGGGAGTGTCCATTTGATTGTTAATAACCAGCTGGGTTATACCACTCCAGCTGAAAGAGGAAGGTCTTCTTTATACTGCAGTGATATTGGTACGTAACACAGGGAGGAACTGATGTTGCTGAGGCCGACGTGAAATTCCCTCCCAGGGAAACCTCTAGTGCACACAGAACAATGAGCCTCACTGGTTATCCTTCATTTATTTCATTTAATTAATGAATTAATTTTTTGAGACAGAGTCTTGCTCTGTCACCCAGGCTGTAGTGCAGCAGCACGATCTCGGCTCACTGCAACTTCTGCCTCCCGGGTTCAAGTGATTCTCCTGACTCAGCCTCCTGATGAGCTGGGACCACATGCTTGCACTGACCTGTTTGGCTAACTTTTTTTTTTTTTTTTTTTTTTTGAGACAGAGTCTTGCTCTGTTGCCCAGGCTGGAGTACAGTGACCTGATCTCAGCTCACTGCAACCTCTGCTGGGGTCAAGTGATTCTCCTGCCTCAGCCTCCCAAGTAGCTGGGACTATGGGCGCCTGCCATCATGCCCAGCTAATTTTTGTATTTTTAGTAG